CTTGGGTCTCCCTTTCTCCGTAACCCGGAGTGACTGGCTCCGTGTCTCGGGCGCCAGCACACTCGATGATGTCCGCCGTCGCATCGCGAAAGCTAATTCTGCATGCGGTTCCCGGGTGAAGGTGGTCGCCGTGATGCATGACGCGAATCCAGAGGAGTGTGTTGGCGTTGTAGAGGCGGAGGAAGTCTGGGGCGACTGTGGTTGAATTGATTTCTCACTACACTTACCCTCTGGAAGGAATGGGACCTTGTATACGATACATATAGACGATGTTAATGACTGAACGCCAGCTGATGTATTTGCTTTCTATCAATTATGCAATACGCTGCTCTATAAATTGTTTGGCAGAATTGTTTTTTCTTTTATGCATATCATTGAATTTCATGGATGTGAATCACTGAATACGAGCTAAATCGAGATCTGCATGCAAGCCATGCATGCGCCACTATTTCTTGCACTTTGGTCGACGTGTGATTGGTATTCTCATTAACCGGCGCATATAGGCCAAGGCCATGTTTTGCATCAATTCTGACAGGTGCGAAAGCAGATCATAGGGATGAGTTTGTGAATCTGAATAAATCTACATTCGTCTATGTTCATTCAAACGGGGTATAAGACAAGCAATTAAAGTCTATATCATGCTCTGTGCGCAAAGTGAAATGCCGAAACCGGTGTCTCGGAGCAACTGGTCCAGCGAACGTCGCTTTGTGAGGCCGCCGGCCTATGAATGGCTCGGGTGGGGACCTGTGCAGCGCCGCGGTCTGCCATCGATGCCCGTGAACAAAGATCATTGATGCTGAATTGGGTACCGGGGTTCCCGAGCGGTTGGCTTTGGGAACTCATGACGTTTCGTCCATGCGCCGCGGACGGGACGGAGGACCGGATGCGAGCGACCATTGCAACAGGGATGGCGGAATACCAGAACACAGATGCGGGAGGAACCCCAAGTATCGGCCTTCAAAGTGACTGGGAGGTTTAGTCAAGCCACCAAGTAAGCCGTCCCTTAGCTTCACGCGCTCGCTGGCATCATAGTGTAGCTCAAGGTGTCTAGAGTTCATAGAAGTACAAGTGCAGCAATATCTTGGGGCATCCTAGGAGTTCAGCCTGATTTCCCTGGTTGCGAATGTTCTTTGCCTTTATCGGCTGAGGACGAGGCGGCTGTTGTGCTGTCGTCCTCGTATAGATGGTGCTGTTCGATGTAGTGAATGACTGGGACGGGAATGAGATAGCGCACGCTCATCTCGCGTCGCAAGAAAAGTCGAATCTTAGTGCTGCTGACATCGTTTTGGATGAGTTGTTGGATCACGTGGATGTTGTCCTTCCATGGCTGCAACGCTGCCAAAGCCTCGTCGATATCGGTGCCGCTGCGTTCCACGATGAAAGACTAAAAGACTGTGAGCTGAATCAATCCGAGTTAAAGGTCCATCATATTTGAACATACACCGTATTTGCCCAGAATGTGGTCCAGATCCTTCTCACTCCATACTCCCGGAGTTGACATGGTGTGGATKAGATCAGCGCCTGCAAGCAAGGCCACCCGGACGGGCTTCCGGGTACCATTTCCAGCATCAATACCCTCCCGCACAACATTGATCTCATGGTCGAAGTGATCAAGCACAACAGCAGTTGGCTGATACTCCTTCTGCATCGGCTCCCATGTATCGACCATCAACCAATTCGATGTCTGATCAACCGCGAGTTGGCACATCGCAACCCTGATGAGTCATAAGAGACGTCGTCAGCAATCTGAACGAGCGGATAAATTAACCGCTAAATTTCATACCGATGTTCCGCACTGGCTAGACCAGCCTTTCTATACGCGTCTGAGACGGGTGAGAGATATCCACCGATGAGTTCAAAGTCCGTGCTGAATTTGACGTAATCGGCAGCCATTTCAAACATGCGAAGATGCAGATAGGTGATGGGGGAGAAGGAACCGCAAGCCACGAGGAGCAGAGGGGTCTTCTCCGGGTCGTCCATCTTGCGCTTCAAACGATGTTCAGGAAAGGCGTAGTTCTCCATGGGAGCCGGTGGAAGAGGAGGCGAGACCTGGTGGACATCGTCGCTCTGTCCTCCGACCATATCTGTCATGATTGCAATCTGAGAATTCGGTATGCGGTGATAGATGATTGCGCCGGAGGAGAGCAGGCTATAACTTGCGGAAGAGGCAAATCGATGGGAGTAAATCGGAAGAGGATGGTTTTGAGTTGCGGACTAGAGAACGTAGTAGGATGGATGAATGCGGGCGGACTGGATTGTTTAGTCAGGCGGCGTGGGGGAGGCGGGGAAGAAGAAATTTATTGAGCAGGAAGACGAGGCACTGATGGCCACGCAGGATGGAAGAATGTTATAAATCTCCTCCTGAAATTCCTCTCTTTAGTGTGGTTTTTCTTTGATGGATTGTCGCAGTTTTAATATAAAGGGGAATGATTGTTGATGTAGTAGGCAAGATGTTTCAGAGAAAGCAAGAGTTAAGAGATGAGAAGAGGGGAAGAAAAGACAAAGATGGCGATCGGTGTGAATCGGAGAATCACCTCATTGATCTTAGAGCAGTTGGCTGCGGAAAAGGGCACGGAGAAACATCCAGTCACTCTTCTGCCCTCTGCAAGAACAATATTCGCATACAAAACTTGGGAATATGGGGGAATTTCTGTCTAATTGTCCTCCTTAATACCTCTATATTGATAATAATGATCCATCTCCTAGGCGGGACGGTCTCTTCTCTGAGATAGGCGCCCTACGTCACCGGCTCTAGGCAAAGATGGATGCCTAGAGAGGTACAATTTAGAGAGGTACTCCGTTTCAATTCTGGCTCTTTCGACCTCACCCATTCTCGTAGTGATTATCACCTCGGCAGCTCTATCATCCCTCTTCATTTGAATTGTAGGTGCACATCAAAATGAAGGAATTCGAGTTCCATATGCTCTAATATTCGGCTTCTCTCCTGGCAACCACAGACTTTGATGCAGCACCACCGGACGCGGTTCACATTTCAGCGGTTTCCGCTTCGAGTGAACAGCATACTCGTTATCCACGGTCCTGCTAAGAATGCTCATCCAGGTTACCAACTTGGTGCGAGATCATTAAAAGTCTTCTTAAGGTGATCAGGAATTCATGATCATCTCGCGAGATCTCCGACCGAGGTCCAACACTGAGTCGGCTATAAGCCATCACACCGATAACGGAGTGGGCTTACTACTCCGACAGCTGGAGGTCAACCTTGAAATACATGGGCTACTTGGCTTAGTAGGGACGTAACCATGTCATTGTGGACTAATCTCGCACCTTCTCGAGACTCCAACAAGAATAAGGGACGTCATTTGGGTGAGCCACAGCATTCATGCATCCTTCCCCTCATCAACCAGATGCTTTATATGCCACCATCAGCCATCGGTGACATGAAAGCTGCCCTCGGTTTCAGAACCGTTTCCTCATAGGGACAGATCTCGACTACTATCAGACTTTCTTCCTCAGCGAAAAGTCCATCCCGGCGTCTCTGAGATCTCGTGAGAAGGGAAAGAGACCCCGGTGGCAGCCCTCCCTCCTGACATCCATGGGTTCGGCACCCTGTTTGCTCCAGTTACCAACATCTCTGCAGGAGGGATGGCATATGTATATTTGCCCTTTCTAGCACAGACATGTTGTATCTCCACTAACCTGGACTAATCTAGGTACTCGTGATTCAACTGTTCGCCAACCAAGCAAACCTTTGACCCAGCCTTCTTGCGAATCTTTAAAATGATTCTTCCAACTGCCTTACAGTGCCCCAGGCTTGTAACTGATAATCTGAAGAGACAGGCAATGAGACATGAGCTCAGTCTTCCTCACTCCACTTCAGGGCGGGTCCGTCCAAACTTGAAGGCTTAGATGCATGAATAGGGTTGATTGCACCTTTCATGCCTGTTCTACCCTAGCAGACACTTAGTGGTAGTTGATAGAAATGACTAACTCCGACGGCACACCATTGGACCTGTGGAAATATTTGAATCTGGGAGGACCGAAGCCCTCGGAGTTATCTGACAGGTATCCTCAGTTTCTCGCTGGTAACTAGTCCGTCGGTTGGAAGGTACATAGATCAACTCTATTTTACTGATAATTAAGATGCGTAACTTATGAGAACCACTTCTTCGGCGATATTTTTAGAATTGCTTTAGTTTCTGCTAGCACCATTACCAATAAGAAGCTTATAATTTCAGTTGTAATGATTCCCACTGCCTCACGTTGTCCGCTACAAGCTCTATGTAAGCAGAGCAATGCGAGTCACTACAGTGGTACGGGAAGCCCCCAACGAGGTTGATAAAATCTGGGTAAGATTCTATTCCTTTTACATTTTGATTCATACATCAAGGATCAGGCCATATACAAATTCTCTGAAAATCACAATCAGATGGTGGTCTCGTGACAGACCATTATTATCGAATAGAGTTTCGCTGCTAGTCCTGTTTCTAGTATGGAACTTCTGGTAGGGGCAAGTCTCTAAATACAAATACATTACCCTAAAATATTCATGCTTACTGAATACAATTGCCCAAATTTTAAGCTCGAGAATGCACCTTTTCACCTAGATAGGCTCTCTCTATGTGTGTGTGCAGTTGTGGTTGCGCTTCTGCTGTCTGGCGCTCCCCGGACTTGCTTCCTCAGGCCGGCGTCACCAACCGTAACCACGTCAACTTCGACCCTCAGCTCATCATCCATCATCACCCTCTCCTTACGACTACAACTGTTCCATCTTCCCCAGTCCCTTTTGAATTCTCCATTTTGTGCCCCTAAGAGATTCTGGATTTATTTCGTCGATACACTCCCTTTCAGCATTCGATTTTCTAGGTTTCGCCTCTTAATCAGCCTGCTGGGTGCATCTTAGTACATCCGTCCCACCGCACCAACAATCGAATCAGTCTCGCCTTCCAACCCGGCTTTGGCAACCCTTTTCGAATGGCGTGTTGAACGGTATCGACTGACAAGCGAGCCCTCCACGATCAGCTCCCGTTGTCATTCAACTTATGGCCAGACAAAGGCCCCGCCTACACCTCCAGGACCCTGAGGACTCTTCCACTGGAGCTCCCGCCATTGCCACCTCTTCTTCCCTGAGGTACATATCATAGCCTACCTTTTCCCCCTCTCATCAACTGTTTGCTCGCCGCTACCTTCGCATAATACCCGTTACTCCCGCTCCTTTCTGCTCCGTCTTCTAAGTCAGGACTTGGCGACAAAGCCTCGGACGCCCATGGACGAGCTCTGCTTTCCACCCCGTTGAACCCAATTTTATCACCCACCTCTTCTCTTCCATCTCTTCCCGAACACCCACTTGCGAAAGAAGCTCAGTTTCTCATGTCCCCCAGAATTACTCGCTCAGCTGCGAGACTTGCTGCAGACTCCCCCTCGTCCGCTGGCTCCGGCCTCTCTTCCTCGATTCCAGCCGCTGGTTCGGCCCCAACTCGAAAGCGCAAGGCCCACGCACGCCGCGATCGGTCTCTGGACGTTCCAGAAGAGACGAATCCCCAATCTCCTACCCGGAGAACCAAAAGACAGAGGCTCGCATCTCCTCCTCAGCCAGCTACTACTGCTTCCACCAGTCGACGTGGTACCCGAAATAGGCCAGCAATGTCACAACAAGGGTGCGTTCTGGGTGTTCCGCAAAACTAATATCGGTAGCGATATCGAGCTAATATTTTCTCTGGCCTTAGTCCGTCATCGAGCTCCCCGGAGGAAAGCACAAAGAAGCAGGCTTCGCCTCCGCCATCGAGGCGAAAGTCCAGCAGACATCGAGGAAAAGTATCACAAGGTAAGGTCTTCCAGAGATAGTTAGAGCGCAGAACGCTTGAAAACTTATGCATCTTCGGAGCAGATCGCCTCTCAGCCACGCAATCTCCTCCCCCGCGTCGACAGAAGAAGCGCTCGTCGAGAACGAATTCGGATGTGATGATGAAAGAGGCAGAGGAGGAGCTGGACAATCATGAGCGCACTGCGAACCGGGAATCTTCACCGTCGAATGATAGTAATGATGGCACGACTCCCTCCGGTATGGACGATGATGATGCAGATCTGTTTCATAACAGCCTTTTCGGTTCGCGAAGTCCGCTAGGGCTCCAGAGCACCCTTCGCGCACTCAGTGGCATGATGTCGGGCATGTCGTCTCGACTGCGAGAGATATTATGCAATCTCAGAATGAAAGAAGACCCTTCGATCCAGTTGATCGCGTTGCAGGAACTGTCTGACCTTCTACTTGTATCAAATGAGGACAATCTTTCCGGCCAGTTTTCTCCAGATCCCTACGTTAAGGAGTTGGTCTCTTTGATGCAACCTGACCAGTTTGGCGAAGAGAACCCTGAAATCATGCTCTTAGCCTGCCGCTGTTTGGCTAACCTGATGGAAGCTTTACGGGGCTCGGTTGCCAATGTAGTTTACGGTGGAGCTGTCCCCATCCTATGCCAGAAACTACTGGACATCCAGTTCATTGACCTGGCTGAGCAAGCCCTCAGTGTGAGTATTTCCCGCATACTTGCGAACCGTTATCATTGGGTATATGTTGACTGTCAACAAGACTTTGGCCAAAATCTCGATTGACTTCCCCGCTTCTATCGTGCGAGAGGGCGGCCTGACAGCATGCTTAACTTACCTAGATTTCTTCCCCACAAGCACGCAACGTACGGCAGTGACAACTGCGGCCAATTGTTGCCGCAACCTCCCTCATGATGCGTTTCCGGTTGTCCGAGATGTGATGCCCACGCTGCTAAATGTTCTCTCGAGCAGCGACCAGAAAGTCGTCGAGCAGGGATGTCTTTGTGTGTCGCGAATTGTCGAAAGTTTCAAGTACAAGCCAGAGAAGTTGGAGGAACTGATTGAACCCGAAATGTTGAGGGCTGTGCTCCGTCTGTTGTTGCCGGGAACGACAAACCTTATTGGACCTCACATTCATACCCAGTTCCTTCGCGTCCTGGCGATCACATCTAAAGCGAGCCCTCGGCTGTCCGTGGAGCTCCTCAAAATGCACGTGGTCGACACCATCTATCAAATTTTAACCGGTGTTTCGCCGCCCGAGAACCTTGAAGCCACGGGTGTTAGGATGGATAGCGTCTTGGTCATGCAGGCTCTTATTCACCGTCCGAGAGAACAGGTCTTCGAAACTCTCAATGTCATCTGCGAACTACTTCCTGAAGTCCCTCCAGGACGACATGGTTCTTCAGCAGATCGCATGCTGGCATCCTCCATCGAAGATAGCTCAGCCTTGGACGCCAAGCACCTTCAAGGACAGGAATCCGCAGAGAAAAGACGTTCCCTGTTGATGGAATGCAAGGTTGAGCTCAAGCGCTTTGCCATGATCTTGCTGCCCACTCTCACAGACGCTTATTCTAGTACGGTCAATCTTGGAGTTCGGCGGGGGGTCCTCATCGCCCAGCTCAAAATGTTGCACAACCTGGATGCCGCGTTAATAGAGGAGGCCCTGCGCTCAGTTCCATATGCATCATACCTGGCTGCTATTCTTTCACAGAAAGATCATCCATCCCTGGTGTCGTTGGCTCTGCGATGCGCAGAACTTCTCTTCAAGCGCCTCGAGCACGTATATCGGTATCAGTTCCATCGTGAAGGCGTCATCTCGGAGATCTTCAAGCTGGCTGAAGACCCCCTTTCCACTGACAAACATTCGAAGGCGTCCCGCGATACGCCCGGCACCGTTCCTAGGGATCTCTCCAGTGATTCACCCCGTGAGCCGAAATCGGTTGCATCAGAAGATGATGGTCATGATGAGGGTGGTCGCCATGCAGCTGACGACGAAGACAATGACCAAGATGATGATCGGGATGAGGAGAACGACGACATTTCTGACTCGGAAAGCTCGTCCTCTTTCTCCGGTCACTACAATACGACGAGAATGGAAGATGCTACCCAGGATCTTGTCATACGCGATGCACGCGCCTTTGTCGAGCTCTATGAAGCGAGCGAAGGCAAAGCCATGCGAGAGCGGGCTCAGCAGATTCTGGCTGAATTGCAAAGCCTTGCAGCAGATATAGAGGATTGCTATCTTGGCGACGGAAACGGCGAAGGGCTCCCGCTTTTCCAGGAATTAGCCTCATACTTTGACGGAGATGCGCTTGAAAGTATCACCAGTGCTGAGTTGCTCAATTCCGGAATCATCAAGGTGCTCTTGGATGTGTTTGGTGATCTACAATGTTTGCTCCCTGTTTACATTATTCCTACGGCTATTGACACGGTGACTGATGCTTTTCATGGGATAGCTTCCTCCATGCGCGACGCCCGTGCCGCGTTCCTGCAAGCCTTCATGGGCTCAACGATCTCAGAGAAAGCCCAGAGTCAAAGTACCGCCACAACTCCATTCAGCGTGTTGATCCAAAAGCTACAAGATTTGCTTAGTCGAACCGAGCATTTTGAAGTTATCACCGTCAGTCACAATTCACTAGAAAACACGCGTATCAACGCCACCCACATGCTGGGTAAGCAACTCAGACTCAAGCTAGTGGCCGATGAGGATTCAGATATTCCTCGTCCCTACAGAAACATCATGGTCTCGATTCACGCTATCGCAACGTTCAAATCGTTGGATGATTTCCTCCATCCCAGGATAAGTCTTTCTGATCGTCCCAAGGCGTCACGCAGCAGTGATACGATTCTTTCGCAGATCGCCAGTGCGGCACGTCTCCGTGAACAGCTCGCTGGTGGGGGCGAGTTCTCTAGCAGTGACCTGCCAACCCAATCAAGGCCGTCAGGGGGCACTAACCTGACGTCTGGTCGCGACGAATCAAAATTGCGCGACAAGAAGTCCCCTGTCGGACACCGTGATGTTGCATCGAGATCCAGACAAGGTGGGCGGCATTCGAGCGCTCCGGAAGACGAATCAGAGCACGACGACGAGCCATTAGAATGTGCGGACGAGAGGCATTTGAGCGAGGACGAAGAAGACGAGGACGAGGACGGCGATGAGGAGCTCAATGCCATCGTCGACGATCTGGAAGATGACCTATCAGATGACAACCATCACGACCCCACTGCCGTGAACATGGAAGTGGCTTCTACAGGCAAGGTAACAGCACGGAAGGAGGACGGAACTCGTGTGGCGACGCCGTCTCAGTCGACTCCCGCATCCAAGTCATCTTCATCCGCCGCAAATACAGTCGCGAATACGACAGAAAGCAGCTCGCTGGCCACTGCTGGTCGACCCTTCGCTTCTTACGCGGCCGCTATGACCTCCATTCCTCAAGACTGGCACATCGAGTTCAGCGTAGATGACAAGCCTGTCTCCAGTGACACCACAATCTACCGTGCGGTCCATCACAATCGCGAGCACGCGGATGCTGGGCCAAGGAATGTGTGGTCTGCCATTCACACTGTCAAATTCAGGCGGGTTCCGGGACCACCGCCCCCGGAGCCTTCTACCATTACGCCCGGCCTCGAAGAAGAACTGTCCAGCAACGGCGCTGAGATGCCATCCTCTCTGAGCAAAGATTCCATCACAGCGCCGATCCTACGTCTCCTTCGGTCTTTGCACGAGATGAATGTCACTTTAGATGACATACTTGCTGATACCAAGGAGCTCGTAGCACTAAGACCGGAGCCGCTGGCACAATTTATCAACACCAAGCTCACTGCCAAGCTCAACCGTCAGCTCGAGGAACCGCTCATCGTGGCTAGCAGCTGCCTGCCTAGCTGGAGCGAAGATCTGGCACGGCTTTTCCCCTTCCTATTCCCCTTTGAAACTCGGCATCTATTCCTTCAGTCAACTGCTTTTGGCTATGCCCGAGCGATGATGAGATGGCAAAATTCCCAGAATGCGGATGACAGCCGGAGCGACCACCGACGCGATGACCGACCATTCCTGGGACGTCTCCAGCGACAAAAGGTCCGAATCTCCAGAAGTCGCATCCTTGAGTCGGCCATGAAGGTCATGGAGCTCTACGGTTCTTCGCCCAGCGTTCTCGAGGTAGAATACTTCGAGGAAGTCGGAACGGGATTGGGCCCGACTCTTGAGTTTTACTCCACAGTCTCGAAGGAATTCTCCAAGAAGAAGCTCAAGATTTGGAGAGAAAACGACTGCCACAATGACGAAGAGTTTGCCTTCGGCAAGCGTGGCTTGTTCCCGGCTCCCATGAGTGAGGAACAAGCTGCCTCGGAGCCCGGAAAGAAACAACTGAGCTTGTTCAAAACGCTTGGAAAGTTCGTTGCTCGGTCGATGCTTGACTCTAGGATCATCGATATCTCTTTCAACCCGGCCTTCTTCCGTATTGCCGATAGCTCTTCCTCGGTGGCTCCGTCTCTGGGCACAGTTAAAGCCGTCGACCAGGATCTTGCAAACTCTCTTCTGTTGCTGAAGCGCTTCGCGAACGCGAAGAGGGCAATCGACCGCGATCGGACTCTCTCGGCCGCAGCGAAGTCGCAAGCTCTGCAGAATGTCGAAATTGACGGCGTCAGAGTAGAAGATTTGAGTCTTGACTTCACTCTGCCTGGTTATCCTTCAATTGAACTAATCGATAACGGTTCCAACGTTCCTGTGACGATTGAAAATGTTGACGAGTACGTTGATCGAGTGGTCGACATGACACTGGGTAGCGGCGTGCAACGTCAAGTGGAAGCGTTCCGGACTGGGTTCTCGCAGGTCTTCCCGTACTCTGCGCTTCGGACTTTCACCCCCAATGAGCTCGTCATGCTGTTCGGAAGGGCCGAAGAAGATTGGACTATTGAGAGTAAGTTACGCTCCGGATTTGGAAATGGGGAAGCTGCTTACTAACATCATGACTTTAGCTCTCATGGACTCAATCAAGGCCGATCATGGATTCAATATGGATAGCAAGAGCGTCCGAAACTTACTGCAGACAATGAGCGAGTTGGATACACAGCAACGGCGCGATTTCCTCCAATTTGTCACCGGCAGCCCGAAGCTTCCCATTGGAGGTAAATTGCAGCTTCTCTCTTTGTTCCAGCTGAATAGTGACTAACATTCTATTTCTTTTCCAGGTTTCAAGAGTCTCACCCCTATCTTCACCGTTGTCTGTCGTCCCAGTGAACCTCCTTACACCCCCGATGACTACCTCCCCAGCGTCATGACGTGTGTGAACTACCTGAAATTGCCAGACTACAGCAGTCTGGAGGTTCTTCGAGAGAGGCTTTCCGTTGCTATTCGAGAGGGTCAGGGTGCCTTCCACCTGTCCTGAATTCGGTCATTGTCGATCATTCTGCTTTGGCCTCTACAATTCGTCGCCTCCATGGCTCCTCCCATGACATAGGGATATCACACAGTTTACGTCATCTACAATCAAAAATCAAGGGAAAATTAATGAATCAATTGAAGAAAAGAGAAGAGCGTTTCGGACAGCGTATTGGTACGGTATCTAGTGACAGCATCATACCCCTTGGCGATGTATTCTCGTGACGACCGACGGGAATCATTTTTTTCTATTACTTCGCCTCTGTCGTCTTTGAATTCAAATTTGCACTTGTTGTTTCTGCGGGTTAATATTCCAGCTTGGTAAGGAGTCCAGAGGGTACTCAATTTCAGAAATATCCGCTAGATAGAAATGGAATTATCTGGTCTGGTGTTGATTATATTGTGTTCATTAAATTCTATTATGCTAACGCCAGGTCTATTTACTCTATCCTTGTCTATAACTCTATTAGTACGCAGCCGTCTATCATCGAGGGTGGGAAAAACAAGGGTACACAGAGGCTCTTGCAACCGACGAGGCGTAAGTTTCAGCCTCTGTACAAGGGGACCATGGACTAATTGGCCGAGTCAGTCTGGCAATCATGCATGTGGGGACTTATCGTCATTTGCAACATACCTCTGCGAATTTTGGTTCTACGAACAAAGCCTTGCCCTCGGCGACCATAACAGGCTCACTCGCATCGCCCACAGGCGGCAACGAGGTTAACGTCCCCTCGACCCACGCCTTCCGGCCTTCGACCTTGACCGTCTCCGCCCGAAGCACATAGAGTCGGTCCGGCAACGCAGGTTTCCGGAAATCCACGTTCAGGTTGGCCGTCATACCCAGACCACTGCGGAACGAAGTCGAAACACAGCGCGCAAACGCCTCGTCGAACATCACCGTCAGCAGACCGCCGTGCACGAAGCCCGGATGTCCGCAGAGCTGTGGGCCGATATGGAATACCGACACCATCCGGCTGGTCGTCGTTCCCGCGGCGGTGCGCGGGTTCTTCGCCATCCAGACATAGGGCGGCACGGTGATCTTGCCTGGGCCTGAGTTTGGCCCTGCGACGAAGTGGTTGGGGCGAAGACTGGGGTTCATTGCGAGATGAGGGCGGGATTCGATGTAGGCGGGATCGCGACGAAGGGCTTGTACGATGGGTGTTTGGGAGATTAGGTCGTCGATGGGATTGGTCTGAGGGCGGGGTCGGGGTCGTTGCGGCGCTGATGGTGTGTGGTTGGGCAGAAACGATGAGGAGCCATTGTCAACGGTGGAAGATGTGTGACTCGCGTGATGATCTTGAGCGACGGCTGAGGCGCCCTGGATGGATCGTTGAGAGGAGCGGCATGTAGACACGGGAGCGACGAGTCGAGTTGTTGGGTTGACCCTGCTCAGACAGCGGGAGGGCTTTGCTAGCCACGACATGGCGGTTTTATGCCCGATTTATATCGTCAGTGATGTGTGCTTCGCTCAGTCTTGACTAGGATGACAGTTCAGTAACCAGTTCGCGTGCTTCCTTGGTCTTCCAGCTTTCTTCAACGACTACCCCTCGGTAATCCGCAATCGGAGCAGGGATCATATCAACAAATGCAAGGCAGATAGAAGACTCACCACAAGGTCGTAAAATAACAGTCTAGTTCAGTATATAGATCCTCTTTCCAAACTAAAACACCAGTAAAATCCAGCAAAAATCACACAGAGTCACAAAATGAAACCCAACTCCACGACCCAGATCCAGGATTTACAAAAACCAGCTGCATGACTCGGGGCTCAGGCCGCGACCACGAGCCGAAAAGAAGTGCCGTCATCGGGATCAAATTTGCAGCAATTCTCGAAAGAGATTGGCGGATGAATCCCGAAAGTGGGTAAACTAATTGTTAGATCGAAAGAACGAGGACGCAATTTTGGTAACGTTGAATGGAGATAAGAAGATCGGCATGCCGAGAGTTGGTTCTTGGTATTATCGGTTTGCCGAGGCGGGATTAGCACGAATATATACTCCGTACATCTTATTCTTGCATATAATCTAGCCTGGGAACATTGAGGGTTTGGTGAGCTATTAAGATGATGAACTCGATCAATGTTTGCCAGGCTGTAGACTGATACTGTGTAGATTATGAGAAAGTGAGGTCAGAATCATACTAGTCATACGTCTAGTGCATTTTTGTTGCTGTCAAGTATGAACAGAACTAAGTGATAGGATATGGTAGGATCAACATAACTTGACGTAGAATCATAATATGATTTATATGAGTTTTAGCTGCATACTATAGGAGGAAGAGATTTGGTTCTGTCAAGTCAGAATGTATATGAAGTTAGTGATATTGTCTAGCAATTCTTTAGTACTCAACTACTCTCTAGTTTCTAGTAATAGTGAACAGGCTGGATTAACTGTCAGATAAGAGCCACGGGGGAGAAATTATCACAGTAAGTAGAATGAAGATTTGAGTAAGTGTCAATGTGCCAAAGCAATAACGAACCAAGCTGGGATTCCTTTCTATACTGACAATACTAAACTTGGTCAGGTATTAACTGTGTTTAAGAGTCCAATGAAATCATCTATTCCCATACATACTAAGCTTCAAAGACAGAGTGCAAATGACATAAGAGGAGATGTCAAGTGAATATATTGTCTAGCTGGAATCATGTGCTGCTCTCAGTGAATGGCAAAACCTCTGCTCTCTGCTCGGTCTTCTCTCGCCTCCTCTCACCTCAACACTTCGTCTCACTTACTCTCCCTTCACCTTCTTCATCCATCCTAGACATCTCAAGTTTCTATCTCCTTTCTTCCATCGCCAAGTCTCTTATACATCTCGTTACTTATACCATTACCCAAGCATGGATGCGGCTAGTTCCGCAGTAATTCTCGACATCTTACGCGAGGACATCAGGGATACCATGGATCGCAGCAAGGGCAAACAGCCCGCTGGGCGATTGTCAGACGAAGAACTTGCTCTGCACCTCTGGCAAGAGGAACTGGACAACTACAACCGATCTCTCGAGGATGAACGACTGGCGAGAAGCATTGCTCGAGCTGTGGTCGATGACGGCGTCGCAGTCACCACCGCACGACAAGAAGAGCTCCGCGCCTCCGACGATCATAGACTCGCTCTCGAACTGTCCGGACAGCCTGTACCCCCACCGCAGCCCCAGGATCAATCAGTTGCGGTCCAGCTTTCTGAAGACAAAATGAAGGACTTCATTGATTTGACTCTTGTAGACACCGATTTCGACTTTTTCCCCCCGAGAGTTGCTAGTCAGCACGCGCAGGCTGAGAGCTCTAGGAACCCTAAGCGTTGTTGCATCGTTCCCCCTTCCGACGAGGAACCTCTCCATGAGTGCGCTGTTTGCACTGAACTTGTTCCTTCCACAGACGCAATCTCAGCGCCCTGCCACCACATATACTGCCGTGTCTGTGCGGTAAGGCTCTTCCATGATTCCACGACAGATGAGACCCTGTTCCCACCTCGTTGCTGCAGAAAGGAAATCCCACTCTCTCTGGTCAGTGGGTTCCTCGGCTTGGCGCGGAGCCAGAAGTTTGAAGAGAAGGCCATCGAGTTCACCGATCCGCATCGTACCTATTGCTCAAACCCTTCCTGCTCGAAATACATCTTCCCGTATTCAGTGTCCTCCTATATTGGTACGTGCAGTCATTGCTCCTCCAGAACATGTATGCGGTGCAAGAAGGCCGCGCACGAGGGTGACTGCCCGGACGAAGACCAAGAGCTCCTTCAACTGGCCGAGCGTGAGGGTTGGCGGCGTTGCTTCCAATGCCGAAACATGATAGAGCTTGGAACCGGTTGCAATCACATCACGTAAGGTTATCATTCATCTTCATGCAAAGTTCGACTCTAACCATATAACGTTCAGCTGTCGGTGCGGCGCGGAATTCTGCTACACGTGCGGTACGAAATGGCGGCAGTGTCGATGCGAGCTGTGGGACGAGAACAGACTGGTTGATCGAGCCCGCTATCTCGTTGACCGCGGCAGGGACCCCGCTCAACCTGCTCAGCCTGCGAGACCAGAGCAGGTCCAGCAGATGGTACAGCAGTTACTTGAACGACATGAATGCGATCACGAAGAGTTCTGGCCGCGCGTCCCTGGAGCTCATCAGTGCGAGGAGTGCCATGACCATCTTCCCAACTATATCTTGCAGTGCGGACAGTGTGGGATTCGAGCTTGTCGGAGATGCAAGCTGAACCGGTTGTAAGGATTTGCGTTAGCATGAGAGGAGCCTTGTTGGGGTGAGAGATTACGATATTTTGTCTGTTTAATATCTGATGGAAAAGAGTGATATTGCAAAGGTAGAGAGCCTTATGGGTGCGGTGTTGTTTGTCGATGTATGCTACAAGCGGTTCTTGAAGAACGCCCAATTATCGAGACTGAAATCGAATGTGATGATTCAAGGCAATTAATCTTTGGTATGGTATATACATACAGATTAAAAGTTCAGTGGATCAACCGGCCCCAGGAAGGAAGTATTGCCTTCCCCACGGAGCAATGCATCGATATCCACACGCCCAGCAGTCAGATACCGCTCGCTAACGCCCACATTCACCCGCTGGGAAAGCAACTGCTTCAACTCCGCTCGCAACCCCGCCAGCTCGGCCTTACTGACGCTCCCTACCTCCTTTTGCTTCTGATGACGACCACGGCCGCGACCACGCCCTTTGCCGTTGGATTCGTCGAACTCCTCACTGTCATACTCAACGCCCAGGTCTTCCGCGGCGTTACGCAGCCAATTGTCCTCTGCTGAGATCTTCTCCTTCGCTATATTAGCATCGGTGATGCGGCTGGCGAGGCTAACCCGGGGCTTCACGCGTGACACGACGCGGCGGTCCAGCTCCAATGATTCCAGCGGCAGCTTCTTGCCATTTGTCATGTGGGCATGCACCTTGGCAGCGAGACGGACGACACCGACCATCTCGTCGGGTCCGCAGATAATGACGCTCTTACCGGATGCGCCAGCACGAGCTGTACGGCCGGAGCGGTGAACGTAGGCATCTGCTGTTCGGGGTGCATGGTAATGGATGACGAGGTCTATTCCTTTGATGTCGAGACCGCGGGCCGCTACATCAGTGGCGATTAGGATGGAACCGGGATCGGATGAGGGCGAAGAGAAACGTTCGACCGAGCGAAGTCGTGCCTTTTGGGCCATGGATGAATGAAGGGCAAGGACCGGGAGTTCGAGAGTTTGAAGGAGTTTGGTGAGACGACGGACGGCAGAGATCGAGTTGGTGAAGACGAGTGTCCGGTATTTGGGATGGTATAGAAGTAGTGTGTAAAGGAAGAGATCCTGAAAGGTCATTAGTCCTAGACTCTACATTACCGAAGCTTCACGAGAACTCACTTTTTCCATGGCGCCACATTCGACAATTCCCTCTTTGAGATTGTCGGCCATCTGCGAGATGGGGTTCATATCGATGAACTTGGGCTTCTCCTCCCGGAAGTTCAGCTTTTGCAGGAGGTAGTCCATGGATTCTTTCTTATCCATAACATCTCCTCCGGTCCACTTCCCTTTACCAGCCAACTTCTGTTGCAGATCACGGTGGAATGTGGCGGAGAAAACCAATGTCTGTCTTTCAGAGCTAGCATCAAATTCCTCTTCCGATGCTTGATTCTCCCCGTCTGGAACCTCGCCATCCACGACGCGGTCCAGAGCGTTCAAAATCTCTTCAACCTCTTTGAAGTGGCCCTCACTCAGAAGGCGATCGGCTTCGTCAACGACAAGGAATTTGATCTGCTGCATCTTCCGGATCAATCCTTGCCCAGTGCTCATAATCTCCCACACTCGACCTGGTGTTCCGATCACGATATCAGCTCCGGACAGTAGACGTTGCTGTTTTTGTACCGAGAGTCCACCAGTCAAAAGTGCAATGCGTGCATTAATACCCGGAGCTCGGGCGATAAGCTCCCCGATGTGCTTCGACAACTGATGAGCAAGCTCTCTGGTGGGTGACAGTATCAGAGCAATTGGAGTTGAGTCTTTCTCTGACTTCTTCCCATTCTCTGCACGAACATCATCGCGTTTCTTCTCCAGATAATGTTCAAGGATGGGGATACCGAATGCCAGCGTCTTTCCGGAACCAGTAGAAGCCTTTCCAATAACGTCATGTCCCTCCAATATCTGAGGTATGCAAGCCTCCTGCACTGATGTCGGAGAGGCGAATTTCATCTTGGACAAGCCGGTGAGTATTTCGGGAGAGAGGCCCAACGAGTCCCAAGCAGAAACATCGGCTCCATCATCTTCCTCCGCATCTTGAAGAGCGGCAAACGAAAGGCCGGCTGTCATGCCCGTATCGTGCTGAATTGCCGAACCTTTCTCCTTCTGTTCCTTCTTCGCGGCTTTAGCTTCTTTCTTCTTTGTATCCTTGGCTTCCTTCTTGTCGGCATTCTTCTCGCTCTTCTTGTCCGCCTTCGTGTCCCACTTTTCAGGTTCCTCTACAGCGGTTGAGGAATCGTTTTCTGGCTGGTCCGCGTCCTCGTCGCTGAAGCCTGACCACTCGTCATCGTGTTTGGGTTCCTGGTCCTCTGGCGCCTTCTTTTTCAAAATAGACTTCTTCGGTTTCCCAGCAACAGCCTGGTGTCATTGTGTGTCAATGGATCATTCTTCAACCAGTCAGCTGTTTCAGCGTACCTTGAATTTAACCTCTCCATTGCCCGAACCTCGCACTATATCAACACCCTCAATTTCTTCCAGACCAAAAAATCCTCCGGCATCCTCGAGACGGTCAGGAAGAGATACTTCCTTCCAGTTCAGCTCGTCCGCGCCGACGATACCGTCCCAGCCGTCGTCCGGATTAGGTGCAGCCGTCGAGTTCTCGGCCTTCTTCCGCTTTTTAGCGTGGAAGTTCGAGCTTTTCGAGTCGCGCTGCCTTTTTTGGCCCATGATTTCCAGTGTTGGCGTGAAGGGTGCCAAGTGGAAGAATCGTGGCTTGCGACGCAAATCAATCGAAGCGGTGATGATCTTTTTTGCTTGCGGAGATGAAAAAAAGCGGCAGAAAAGAGGCCCGCCTTTTTGCGGTCTTTAATTAATCTTATCGCTTCATCTCCCCCACATTGAATTTCTGTCAGGGATCCAGCTGGAGAGCAATTGATCCATCCACACTGCCTTGCAATCCCAGTGCTTGTGGGGGATTGTTATCAATTCGTTAAAATGGGGAAATCCTCCAAAGACAAACGTGACGCCTATTATCGCCTCGCGAAGGAACAAAACTGGCGCGCCCGTTCCGCTTTCAAACTGATTCAGATCGATGAACAATTTGATCTGTTCGAACATGAAAACCCCGAGAAAGTGACACGGGTCGTTGACCTTTGCGCCGCTCCAGGGAGTTGGAGTCAAGTCCTCAGCCGAGTCCTGATCAAGGGAGAAAGCTTTGGCCGGCGGGCGTGGATCGAGAAAAAGCGAAAAGAGCGCGAGGCTTTGAGAAGAATCGATCATGGATCGGAAAGTGAGGGTCAAGCTGAAGAAGAGGGGAACGACGAAAGCGCCCAGTTGAAGCCCAGAAGGAACGTGAAAATCGTCTCGATTGACCTTCAACCCATGGCGCCATTGGAAGGTATCACAACGCTCCAAGCCGACATCACACATCCGTCTACGATCCCTCTGCTCCTTCGTGCCCTCGACCCTGAAGCTTACGAATCAGCATCTTCCTCCACCCCTTCGGCCATCCAACAACCCCACCCTGTTGATCTCGTCATCTCTGATGGTGCACCGGACGTCACCGGCCTGCACGATCTGGACATTTACATTCAGTCACAGCTCCTCTACTCCGCATTAAACCTGGCAGTGGGCGTCTTAAGGCCAGGAGGCAAGTTCGTAGCTAAGATCTTCCGAGGCCGTGATGTCGACCTCATCTACGCACAGCTCCGCACGGTTTTCGAGAAAGTGAGTGTTGCAAAGCCGAGAAGCAGTCGCGCGAGCAGTTTAGAAGCCTTCGTGGTTTGCGAGGGCTTTATTCCTCCAGCCATTCATGACGGCTCGGTCGGAATGGAAGCATTGAAGAACCCTCTTTTTGGCGGCGCAGCAGTACCACAGCCCGTGTCTGCAGATGGCAACATTGGAGTCGAAGTACCCGACGAGGATAGTGTATCACCAAGCGAGACAATCACACTTTCGGAAGCAGCGACGGTGTCTGCACCTGATTCAAACCAACAAACTCAAATTCGCATGCTTCATCCGCAATCTTCAATCCCGTCCCTGGCAAACAAGCCCCAGCGTTTCGCCGTCGAGAACCGATGGATTCCTGCATTCATTGCCTGTGGCGATCTTTCTTCCTGGGACTCTGATGCTTCGTACTCCTTGCCCCCGGACTATGTCAACTTGGATCCTGTTCAGCCACCTACGGCACCGCCTTATCGGCGAGCATTGGAGCTACGGAAGGAAAAAGGTGGAGCTTATGGTAAGACGAAGTTAGGAGCCGTGGGACGAGCATAGGTACTTTGGAAGGACCGTGTCCATTTTATTTTTCATTGTTTATAATACTTTTTCTTGTTTCCTATATCTACATGGAAACCTGTTTGTCTTGGGGATAGAAGGTGTTGGCGTGAGCCTTGTGCTATCAGTTGAGTCTACATTGCAGGTATAGAGGAATAGAGAAGATACCCATTGGAATCCGAACGAAAGATTCACGTTTGAAATGCAATTAAAATCTATGTAAATGACATGAGTTGAAGAACTGTCATCAAAGAAATCCAAATCTATCGTTGAGTCTCATGATGGAAGCGCTAAACTGAAGTGGGACAAATGGGTCGTCACATCATGCACAATGGCAGCGGTGTGGGAAACGTAGCGGAAATCTTAACAGCTTTCTCCAAACGAAATCCATCTAGTAAACTTCAAGAACATATCTCTCCTCATCCTTGAGTTTCTCGATCTCCTTGCGAGTGTCGACCCTCTTGCGTGTGTTCTTGGCCTCGGTGGCAATGGCCTCCTCCAGCACGGCAGTCACATCAGGAACGGGCCAGGTGGGACCGCAAAGGTAGAAGGCACCCTCTTCCCGGATGTAGGCCTGGATGATTTCAGGCAGAGTCTCGCGCATACGGTCCTGGATGTAAATCTTCTCAGGCTGATCACGAGAGAAGGCACGGCCAAGAAGAGTGATGACACCGGCTTCCTGGTAGGCCTCCCATTCTTCACCATAGCAGTACTCCTCGCGCTGGTGACGGGATCCCATGTACAAGAGCACTGCACCAATCTCCTTGCCCTGTGCCTTCTCGAGGGCACGGTGTTGCACGAAGGCACGGAAGGGAGCGAGACCCGTTCCAAGACCGGCCATGATGAGGGGCTGAGTGGACTTGGGTGGCAACTTCATCACGCTGGACTTGACGCTGACAGTGATCGGAGTGCCCGGCCGAAGTCTGCTGAGGTACCGGGTGGCGAGACCAAAGCGGTCGCGGCCACGGGGATCAACCCAGTTGACAGCAACGATCATGAGAGCAACCGAGTTGGGCGTCACCTTCTGGCAGGAAGCGATGGAGTACTCGCGGCGCTTCAGGGGGCCGACGATGCGGATCAGGTCGTGGAAGTCAGGATGAGCCGAGGGGTACTCCAGCAGCACATCGGCGAAAGTGATGGTGTCAACTTCTGCACGGCGCTTGAACTCCACGGCACCTTCAGAACCACCCAGTGTGAGAAGGTCGATCTTCTCCTTCTCGTCAGTCGCGAATTCCGCGAGGGCTTCGTAGAAGCGCTTAGGCGGCCGGCCGAAGATATCGACGTTTTGGACGAGAGCCTGGTAGACGGTGCGGTTCTCAAGAACAGCTGGGTCCTCGCGGCTAGGAACACCGACAACATCGTCGGGATTGAGACCATAGAATGTGATGAACTCCGAAACTTCTTGAGGATCATTCTCGGCGTGGACACCTAGGGCTTCGCCAATATCATACTTAAGACCAGAGTCACCAAGATCGAACTCAATGTGGAAGATGTTTCGATCATAAGTGACAGGGGTCAAGCGTCTGTTCTCCTTGACGTGGACGGTGAAAGTCTTCGTGGCCGTTTCGGGGCGAAGAGCCGTCTTGGTGCCATAAGCCTCCTTGAATGCGAGACCCTTGGCTGCTGCCTGCCAATCATTGAGGAGAGGAGCTGGCTCAGCTTCATCCTTGTTGAAGGGAACGAAGCTGTTGATGGAGATATCCTTGGGAAGCTGAGGAACCTCAGTTCCCTCTTCGGAGGTCTTCCAAGCCTCAGGGATCTCGATCTGACGGAGAAGCTTGTCAAGGTCTTTAGTGACATTCTCAAGAGCCTCAGAGTTTCCGGTGATGGAAGAAAGCTTCTTAAGGCCAACGCCTTCCTGAGAGGGAAGTGCCACTCTAAGGAAGGCTGACTGGAGGATGGTGGATTCAGGAGCAGAAGCCCCGGCTACGGATGGGTCGACGATGTAGAGAGAAATTTCACGCTGAGCAATAGCCTGTCTGAAGCCCAAGGGTAATTTCTTTTCCAACTCATCATCCTTGACGCCAGGAGCGTTGATGATGACGTTGCCCTTATCCTTGATGGAGGCAGCAACGTCGATATCTCCAAGAAGCTTGATGTCTCCAACGTATGCCGCGTCTGCAGCAGTAATAGCATAAGGAGTATCGAGAATCTTGGAGCTCTTGCGAATGTCGATACGGACGGCTCCACCCTGAGTAAGGTTGTCGTGAGACTTGGAAGTTGTGACATTGCTGGCGGAATCAGCAGCAAGGGCCTCGGAAAGAACAGCAGCAGCAGATTCGCAGACAGAGCTGTCAACATCCCAGAAAGTGTACTCCTGTACGGTAGCAGGGTCGATAAGCTGAAGAGGCGCGCTTTCACCGTTGGCCTGAACAATGGGCTTCTCGGAGATGAGTTGGAAGGCAGCGGCAGTGTTTATCAGGTCCCAACGCTGAGAGCGGGGATATTTGATGTCGACGCAGGTAGGCGCATGTTCTCGACCAGAGGCAAAGGTCAGAGCCGCAAGCACATCCTCGTAAAGGGCGGAGCGGACACCTTGCTCTTGCACAGCTTGCTCATTGGTAACCTGACCAAGGACACCCACAGTCTTGGTCGATTGGGGGAGAACACGCAGGAATTCTTCCTCAACGAAAGGACGGTAAACACGCACATTGACAACACCGACGCGGGCACCATCCTTTGCCAACGAGCGAGCAACTTGCGCAGTGAGAGACGCCTCGACGGTACCGAAAGCAACCAGAACGGAAACTGGTTCGGCGTGACCGTGGTATTCGAAAAGGCCATAGTCTGTGCCAAGTTCACCGTTCAGAGACGTGAGCAACTCCAGAACCTTTCCTTGGATGTCAAGGTGACGGTTACGGGACTCATCCAAGGTCTTGCGAATGGCCTCGTATGTACGCGCAACGCCCGCCTGATCCAGAACATCAATGACACGGGTGGTCTCGCGGCCAACGCGGACACCGTCATAGATATGTACCGAGGGCAGGACGGAAGCGAGGAGGGTCGTGAGCAGCGCCATATGCTGAGCCTCATGCACCGAGGCACTTGAAACAAGACCCAGGCCAAGTTCTTCAGCGAGAGAGAGGGCGGAAGCATAATCCGAGACCAGTCCATCCTCACCGACGTAATCAACGGCGGCAACGTGTGCAGCAACAGGACTAGCGACTGAATACAACAGAGATAGCTGCTCCAGAGCCGAGCGCATGTAAGGGAGAGTGGCCGAGGAAGCAACGATACCCTGAGGGACATGGCGCTTCTTCAGATCAAAATCTTGAGAGAAGAGATAGCCGAGGGCGATGCTACCGGCACCCTGGCGGGTCTCCATAGCCTTGACGACGGTAGATTCGCCATTGGCATTGGTTTCCTGACGCGATGCCCATTCATGCAGAGCGTTGTCCAGATCGAAAGACTCAGGCGAATAGGAGAAGATCTTGTCGCTGAGGATGTAGGCG